TTACAAGACTGTGTTGGATCAATTCAGAATGTAAGTACCTTCATGATGGCAGAATCGACGCAGATCTTTATCAGGCTCGATGAGGTTCTCTCGCTATTCCGAGTTCGTAGCCAAGTGCCCTACTACCTGCAACTCAAGGCTGGTGTCGAACGGGCTAGCGGGAAGCGGTTCGCTAAGGTCGTGTCGTTCAAACGTGTAGTCCTCGTTGGATACGCACTTCAGGGACGACTACTTCAAGTCGTGTTTGCGGCCGGTGGCCTCCTCGAGCTGGAGTGGCGCGAGGAAGAATGTGAAGTCGACTCTATGGGCACGAGCCCGCTTCGGCGTCTAGTCGTTATCCAGAGAGATGCCACTGGTAGGGCTGTGGCTGGGCCGGTCAGTGTGAGGTAGAGGCTGTTAGGTGCTATACTGACTAAGCGACTTGATGCCAAGGAGGCGCTGGCGAGAGCTGACGTTGTTCGAACGCAGCTCGAGAAGCTTCTAGCGGAGCAGGTTAGCAAGAGAAGAATTGTGGTAGCTGCCGAGTTTTACCCTGCTCCGCAGGAAAGGAGTTGCAGTGACCCGAAGAAGTTCCTCACTGATGAGGCTGATCCGGTGCCGCAAGTGAGTTGCCAGGCTAACCGTAACAGGTATCAAACATGTCGTATAGGCAGCATTACCAAGCAACCCCTATGAGGCTTCTCCGGCAGTAAGCTCGACACCGGTCCTCCGCGGTCGAGGAACACCGAGTCCAGATGTGACGCCGCAGACGCCTTGTAGCCTAGTGCTCTCGGGTTGAGTCAACTTGTTGCTCTCGAATATCGGAGGAGACTTTTCGCCTTAGGAGTTCGAGCGAGGCGGCGAGAGAGGCTTGAATTGAGTTCGTCTCCATTTGTACCGGTTATTCTTCCGCAGCTGTCCGAGCCCATGACTCCAGCTGTAAGTTTCGATACTATCGTTTCAGTTGATATCATCCATTTGTTCTCCTGTGATCTCAGCGTACTCCCTCCGTCCGAGACAACATCCGGAGTCGATCAGCGAGCAAGACGCCGGCTGAGCGACGGCAAGAGATGAGGGAGAGGGTGAGCGGTCCCTGGTATTCGCAGTTGATGGTGTCGTAGGTCCGGGCCAAGGAAGCAAAGGAGAAGGAAGATGCACAAATCTATGAAGAGGACCTGAAATGGCGCGAGTAGTGACCGGTGACTCCGGGGGTGGTGGCTATTTGCGTCTCAGGCTACTCAGCTTCTTCGAGCTTCTGTCTTCAATCGTATCAGAGCTCAGTCGTCTTTTCTTTATGAGAGGGCATCCCTCGATGAAGCTACAAGACGTGGTGAAGTGAGCAACCGTGTATTTGCGTGCTAGCGACACTGAAGCCTCAGGCACTTCATGTCGGCCAATGGCGGTGGGCGACGGTACAAGGCACTTGGGACTCGAGTCATGGAGGACTATCTTCGGCAGACGGCTGACTTAGCGCCGGAATGGATCAAGATCGTTCATAGCACGGTAAGATGGTTCCTCACTAGTTCCGATCGCAGATGTGCGCAGATCGATAATAGAACGGAGATGCTGAAGATGAACATGTCGGCAAAATCCAAGGCCGTCCTCAGCAAAATTAAGGATAAAAAGGAAGCGTTGACCGCCGAATACACCGAGTGGCAGTCGAAGCTTCCGACATCTCCACGACTTATACCTTCAACCGGCGGATAGTCAGCACACTACCAATATCTGCTACTGCGATTCTGAATGAAGCAAGATGTCTTCTGCCAATGATGCTGCATGTCATCGGGGAAAGGGCAATTTCCAGGTAGTCATGGTGGCGTGTTAAGTCCCTAACCTGGGGATAGCGACTTTCGGCAGGCGAGTGGAACACTCGTTAGACATGCCAAGTATGGGAGCAACTTCATAGAGTTGGCGTCCTCCTATTTCTTCTCCCAGGAGGAGTTCCTGGAAATTGAGAACGCCTCAAGAATATTTAACATTCTCATTCAGCATCTGGAGTCAATAGCATATTGACAATATGCTTACGAGATTGTTTGGAACAATTTCTTTCGATAGAGGGATACAGCATCTCGTGGTGTCTCACCTGTTTCCCACTCAAACAGCATGTGATGCCTAGGGTGGGCGATATGAGAGTCACAACCAGCAGATTGCCGAGCTCGTCACACGCAGCTCGTGATCTTAACCGATGGAAAGAGATCGGCTATACAGTGGGTGCTCAAATTTGAGCGCGTCGAGCTAACATAGCTCGCGATGCAACGTAGGGGTGCGCCGACTCAATCCTACTGGATCAGGGGGACAGATACCGGTGGCGTGCGCGAGCTACACATCGTTTCGCTCCGCCCAACTCGACTTTTTTCTCCCGTAACAGGAAAATGGTGCTCTGAACGTCGAATCGAAGTTATGCTTTACAGCCACGGGCAGGCAAGTGAAGTCTCCGCTGATGGAAAATCCGGGCTGGGTAGGTGGAGCTTTGAGACTCACTGAGGGCATTTCCTGTTGACGAGACTTGTCACTTCAGAAGACCTCCGATTGCACCGATATCGGATCAGGAGGTCATCCGTTCAATGAACGAGATATATATGCCGTTCTCTATTCCGCACGAGAGCGAATCAGCGGAGCGAAGCTTCAATGCTTTGGTCTATGCAGACGTATTCCCTTGACACTCCTTTCTTCACTCCAATGCCCGCCACGACGGAACATAAGACTCTCGCCCCAGAGCCTATGACCGATGAAGGCCTTTTGATGGAGGATGGCATGGCGGCAGACAAACTCTTCAACGGTATTGTCTGTGATCAGTCTAACGGTGAACGGCTCATTTTTAGCCTCGACCACCGGCTACACGTACGACGACATTATTCTTATGCCCGGCCATGTGAAAACTGATGTAGATGAAGTGTCAGTGAAGACCAGGATCACTAAGAAGATCTCTCTGGCTGTTCCTATTGTTTCTTCACCCATGGATACGGTCACTGAGCATCATATGGCCATAGCAGTTGCACAGATGGGCGGCCTCGGTGTTATTCATAACAACAACGAGATCTCCGAACAGGTAAAACGTAGCTCTCTAGGACCATACACGGTCACCCTTACGTTACATGATAGGTCGCTGAAGTGCGAGCAGTGAAACGTTTCAAGAACGGTTTTATCATGGATCCTATCACTCTCGGCCCCGGTGCTACCATCGCTGATGTTGACAAGATCAAGGCCACGCGTGGATTCTCCACCGTTCCCGTCACTGAGAGCGGTAAGTTGTGGCGGACAGATACCCGGCAGGTTCCTCCGGATTGACAGGAACCTTCATGCTTCAGGGTCAATGGGCAGTAAGCTGTTGGGCCTAGTCACCAGTCGCGATATCGACTTCAGAAAGGACAGAAGCATCAAGCTATCTGAGGTAATGAAGTGGTTGCATGGTGTGTCACCATAACCGAGTGGTCCAGGTGATGACCCCTGCCGATAAGCTAGTCGTGGGTTGCGATCCCATATCTCTCCCCGAGGCCCATCGCAGGATTAGAGAGTCTAAGAAAAACAAGCTTCCCATCGTGAATAAGAATGGGGTATGTTACTATGCCCCCGTGTATATGTACGCCTCTCCATTTCTCTGTAGGATCTCGTTGCCTTGATCTCGCGTCAAGATCTCAAGTCATCCCGTAATTATCCGAACGCCACGTTGGACGCTAACAAGCAGTTGATGGTGGGAGCTGCCGTCAGTACCCGCCCATGTGACGAGGCTCGCGCCCAGCAGCTGATCGAGGCTGGTGTCGATGTGATAAAAAGGATTTCTCTCTGATCGTGTTCATGGTCGATGTATACAGGTCATCGTGGTGGATTCCTCCCAGGGGTGGTCTGACTATCAAGTTCACTTCATCAAGAGGATCAAACACGATTTCCCCGCTATGGAGATCATCGCTGGCAATGTTGTGTCGGTCCGACAAGCTAAGGTCATAATATCTTACTCGAGAACGTCAGATGATGTATTGTCTCAGGCTCTCCTTGATGCTGGCGCCGACGGCATACGTATCGGCATGGGCAGTGGCTCCATCTGCACCACTCAAGAGGTGTGCGCGGTTGGCCGTGCACAGGTGAGTGCTGACCTGGTATTGACTGCAGAATCGATGCATTTTAGGGCTCTGCGGTTTATCATGTAAGTAAGTTCGCAGGAGAGCGATACAATGTTCCTTGCATTGCTGACGGTGGCATCCAAACCTCCGGCCACATCATGAAGGTGATACAACACTTCTGGATCCTTGTGAAAAATATCATTGCTGTACAGGCACTCTCCCTCGGCGCATCTGCGGCCATGGTGGGTTCTCTGTTCGCTGGTACCGAAGAGACCCCCGGTGAATTCTTCTGGCATGATGGTGTGAGAATGAAGACATACAGAGGAATGGGTGAGTTACTTCCACCGTCCATCGGCAGTCGTGGCTAGCCTTGCATGATGTTTGATCTGTAGGATCGCTCGAAGCTATGCAGAATCGTTCGGGTGAACGCTACTTTGCCGAATCCGCCAATATCAAAGTCGCGCAGGGAGTGAGCGGAGCCGTTGTTGATAAGGGAAGCGTCACCAGCCTCATCCCTTATATCATGGAGGTACACTACGGTTGATATCATATCGCTTGGCTGCCTCATCCCTCCTTCTCCTTAGGGTGTTAAGCAGGGTATGGCTTACGTAGGCGCTCAGAGCGTGCCTGAGCTCCACGCGGCTAATGTCAGCGGTGAGCTCAGATTCGAGGCTCAAACCGGAAGCGCTATCAAGGAGGGTGGTGTTCATTCCATGCTGAAGTACGAACTACATCTCTTCGCCTCTAGTTAGGTGTGCGCTTATAATTTCAGGTTCTCCAACAACTCAAGCAATCGTTCAGCCGGGCGTGTTGCGTGAACACAGATACCATTGGCACTGTCAAAACGTTTCACCACATATTCTCACCTATTGTGTTCAGTTCAATACAGACGGGCAAAACGATGAGTACAAAACAGGTGACAGAAGTTCTGGCGACGAACAACCTTTTCAGCTCATATCTACTAACTCTCCTTATCCTCGAGACCATGAATTTGTATATTGCAGTTGTCCTCCGCTATCGAGTTCTCTGCTCATCCTTATCGATACTGGAACTTCTGCTGAGAAAGTTTTTTCTATCACTATGGCCCGCCCAGTAGGCTTAGCGAATAACTGCCACTACCCTACTAGGCGGTGATTGGCCCCTAGTAGAATATAGGATCTGATGGAACTAACCGTTATGTCCATCAGATCATTGTGCGTTATTTCCGTTCTGCCTTCTGAACTTGGCCTCTGGGGGTTCTAGTGGGTAAGGCTATGCGAGGCCCATAGTATTCTTATGTGGGTCAAATATTTCCACAATTGGATTTTCCCCCCGCAAGCTGCTGAATGCGCCAGAAAGTGGCTTGCCCGAAGCAGAAGAGAAGTCCGTCTCATTGCCTAGGCTTAGACGGAAGATGAGCCTGCTCTGCAATGTACGTGGCTAACGTGACGTCGTCGGATGTACCCAACAAGATGAATTTTTTCTCTTGGCATCCCACGTGCCAACGGCAGCGTGAACGGCAGGCAGTACCCGACTGGTACTACTACACATAAACAAATTACCTACTGATAAACCAATAGTAAACAGCCATGGTGCGTCCTCCATGGTCCGGCGACAGGACTCCGGCTAACCAGCCCTGCCACAAAATGGTGTGGATGCGGAATTCAACTGCCCTAAAGTCCCAGCCCTCCCCGATCGAACCACTGATTGAGCAACCCCGTATAATAACCAATGACGTGGAAAACGACAAGAGAATGTACTCGGCGCTCCTCAAATTTCTCCGTTACCACTGATTAACACAACAAAATTGACTCGGAGAAAGTGTGAGCACAATATCCCAAGTGGTGTGATATTAGGAACTTGCTTCAACTCCCACTTTCCTGCGTTACTGGGAATCATCACTTGTCATACCGTAACCTAGACGTAAATGCCCAGCGGAACCATCTCGCTTCTCGTAATTCGCATACATAACGCTCCCAGGGGCGTTCGAATATTGTATCTACCGACCGAACCATGATACACACATCATCGATAATGCTGCTACCTGTGCGTTGTGCTCCAGCTCTACAGGCGATTTTCCGAAGCCAGTTAACCAACCCCATAAGCCCTTAGAGGTATCAGGACGAGTTCGCGCGCTGACATGGTATCTACATTCAACGTAATAACAGCAGAGTAAACACCCACGTGGCATGCTACTCGGCATCAACACTATCGATCGGTTTGGCTCGTGCGGTGAGGCGTCCTTCCAGTTCGCCACCAGAAGAGAGGCGGGCACCTCCCTCAATGCCCTAATCAGAGAAGAGTCATCAAGGCACTCATGGGATAAAACTTACAAATGGGTTCTTCGAGTCATAGCCACCATCGACGAGGGAGCGACTGTAAGAGGTGTACCAGTCAGGGTTGACTGAGGAAGACACCACTTCAATGACGACCCAGCGTCAGATCCCATTTACATTTTTCAGCACCAGACTTGGACAGGAAGCCATAAGGATTAGTGATGGGAGCTTGAATGCCCGCTTCAGCCTGAAAGATTCGCACTTCCCCCTATCACAACCCGACTACCGTCTTTACCCTATCGTTATCTCTCGCCCACTGGGCCTGAAGTTGGTGTTTCAGCTCTCCATTATTGGTACTCCCTGCGATGTCATACCTATCAAAACAATATTCCATACCGCATTTTCGCAAAATTCTAATACACTACCTAGCTGCTTTCCCATTGCCGCCATTCCACAGCTTAGAGAGTTTTCCAAAGTAGCCTTCGTTGCTAGACCACCCTGCTGTACCGCGCAACTGAGTAATGGTGATTGAGATATAGCGAGTCGGGAATACCTACTGTGCCATCAGGAATCGCATTGGAATACTGTAAAGCGAGTTGCTGATCGCTGTTCAAGGCGCCCTCGATAGCACCAAGTCCTGAATAACAGCGAGCAGATACCCTAAGCAGGCTATCGAGAATGATCCAACCTTTGCCGGGTAAATTGTAGAGGTAGTTGGCTGCCCACTCGTCCTTGTCATTACCTATTAAACGAGCGGATACACTGTATGAGCAGCGATACGTGGGGGAAATCTCACCAGAGTACACAGAGGCTCAGAGGCTCGATCATACATGCAGCAGTACCGACAAGCTCGTACGTACTTAGACGAAGACCCACGGAAATTCTATAACGCGATGTGTTCAATTCGGCAGAAAGGATGATCCCAGAGTGCGGCGTCAGCAGAGAGGCTTAGTTAAAGAACTCACCAGTAAGCGTGAGATCACCGAGTTGCTTGTGACTGTATCTATGCTGCCAAGTCTGCTCGCGGTCTGTATTGACTAGAGGATCATTGAGGAAGTCCCTGAGCTCTCCAGATACTTCACCTCCCACCGAAGAGCTGATCGAAGTCAGAGTAATGAGGAAGCACAGCGGCAAGATCGACGACTACCTTGTGACCATTTCTGGACGAGACCAATCGGAATTGTCATTCGAGCCAAACAACCACAGTGGAGCGACGCTGGTGACCTGAGAGGCGGTCTTATATCGTCCAAGGGGGGGAGGGGGTATGGACTTCCGAAAGCCACTGCCATCCCCCAGAGGTAGACCCCTTACCAATAGTCCACATCCATAAACGAGGCCGGCCAGGATGCCCAACGACCTAAGGCGTCTTCGCTTCTCTGACTTGCTCTCAGGGTGACCACGTTGGGCGGCAGCAACAGACCTCACCATTCGCCAATTAACAACTGTAGTTATCAACATTCATTCGATGCGCCCCAGTAACACAACCTCTTGCCACAATACACAGTAAATTTCAACGTACAATAGTATAGTAAGACCCTACCACTCAAAGGTCAGGGAGGGCCCAGCGTCCTGAGCAGACTCCCCAATCAATTCTAAAATAGACTTGCCGTTTTCCCCTCCCCCAGAATCGAACCGGGCACCTCCACCCGGGCTCTTCACTTCAATGCTCCCCAATATACTGCTTATGGCATCCTTGACGCCGCCCTTCTTGAAGGAGTCTCCACGAAGCCGAACGCCCGTCGACCTTGGGACATTCTCACGATCTTTCGATCGCTGTGCCATCTCCCCTATCCAGGCCAGGGCTTGTCGTTGCTCATCACTAGCGGCCTGCGCTGCCAGCCTCAGCTGATTTACTTCACCCTGTAGCATATCCAGGCCGGTCTTCAGCAGTTTCCGAGCAGATTTCACCAGCGTTTCGGCCTCCTTCCCCATTCCCACAGTTCCCTCAACGGCTACACTATCGAATATGCCCATAGCATCTCGCCGGCACGCCCGTTCCGAGCTGCCGGCGGTGGCCTTAACATCACGCGCCACACAATTGACGTAAGCATCTAGTGCCTTCGAATGTGCCGCAAGTAGTCGATCGTCCAGAGCGGCTAGGGAGCGCTGAGCCTGAGAAGTGAGTGAACTCTCGAGAGCGGCTATGAGATGGTCATAGAATACTACCACTGAGTTCTCGCTGTTGTTCTGATTCTTGCTACTGTCTCCCAACCAGAGCAGCATCGACTTGGTCGAGTGAACCTGGTATTACTGATATCGACTACTACACCCAAGCTTGTATCACCATGAGCAATAAGGTATAGACGCCTATCCCAAACAGGATCACTAGGCTCCTCAGGCGTGAACGCATCTTCACCAATTAAACTATCCCAAAAGTTCTCGATTGAAACGAAACTAGCGCAACAAAAAAAGCTGTGAGTTTCTAAGACAATAACCACCTCCTGCCCAATACGTATTCGGAACAAAGAGGACCTCCTACCCCATTAATACGGCAGTCATCATTATCATCATCGCCATCCTCCTTCTCATCGTCGTTTCTGCCATAGCAGCCATATATTATTAGCTGGGAGTAGCAGCTTGGCTGGCTTACAAGTGATATCGGCGGCGGCTGACCTCGAGAATGACTAGTCGGAAAGACAGTCATGGTGACAATATTTACGACCTTAGTCGTGCTTCGACACTCCGAGATGAAAGGGGTTTACAACATTATCATAATAGTAGTAGTAGCCATGCCAGCCGTAGTTATTGGTATGAGAAGGAAGATAAGGACGACAAACAGGAGGACAGGAGGTCGAAGAAGATCTCGTAAAAAAGGTCAGAAATTACAGAGGAACTCACGACCCAGATTTGCTGCATCAAGATGGTAGTACACGAGGCCACACGAGGCCGAACGGCGGCGGGACTCAACAACATCAGAAAAGAGGTAACAGCTACAGTAACGAGGGAAATTGTTACGAAGACGACGATAGTCTGTGTGGAGGAGGATGTGGTGATGCATTGGATACTACTAGGATACGCTTCGCAATATTATTCATTGATAACCGACTTACTCATTAAAGACATTAGAAGACAATGACAACGAGGCTGTTGCTGCTGCTGCTGCTGCTGCTGCTGTTGTTGACTTAGTTGACCGAATATAAATGTTCAAGTCGATGGGCTATACCCACAAAGGAACATCACCATCCATTCATATCTCGACGACGATTCCATCCTCCTCCTCCTCTATCCCGAGCACCACCACTATTCCCTCCCGACCATCTCCCCTTGTTGCCGTAATCATAATAGTCATTCTTATGCCTGGATGCTGATGCGGCTGCTCCTGGTCCAATCTTGAACTCAACCTCCTTCACACATTGGGCGAATAGCCAACTCCTGTTCTCAGGACCGGAACGGGCATGTAGAGGATGGTCACTGTTGTCCCGACGGTTATGCGTTCGACGATTATACGTCCTAGCATCACCCGTCACCGCCGACTTAGATTCGCTATTAGTAGAATCAGTGAGTCCCTGAGAGCGTTACACCATCATTACACTCGAGTGAACCCGAACTCACCTTTAACGCAGCCAACACGTCCTTGCCCTGCTCATGACCAACCTTTTCGAGGAACAGATCGATAACCATCTGCCGCTGCTCCGGTCTCCTTATTTTACGTGAATTCCGCAGCATATCCCGAACCTCTCGGTCAATGTGATGTTTCTCATAAATTTCATTTAGTTGCGGTACCGCACCCACAGACGGAGAGCTCCCGTCGCGCTCGTCCGAGGGTAATTCACCATCATAAACAATTGAAGCCACTGGAGGAGGTGGTGACGGGGGTTCTGCTGCGCTGAATTTCCCCCTCTCCTCATCGAGATTTCCCTTTAGTTGTTCAATCTCCTTCAATAACTCATCATTACGTGTGCTGCTTAACTCGAGTTGATGTTGTAAAATTAAGGCCTTCTTTGTCATCTCGGACAAGAGGGCGATGAGCTGTTCAGTGCTGTTCTCCTCAACTATACGGCTGAGTAGCTTGTCAACGGCTAAACATATACAACACATCACTACATCAGCAGTAACTTCACCATAAGGACCTACCCCATCCTATTGGATCTGAGCCCGGCGAGTCTCCAGCATTTGCTGCAGCAGCTACTCTTGATTCGCCCTTCCCACCACTCTCCTCAGCTGATCCGATACCTCCATTACTACTCCCAAACTTGCCACTAGTCTCAGATTCAGAAGGGTCTTCGATGCCCTCAGCTGTCTCTGCTCTAACAGCTGCTATGACTAAATCAGTGCCGGCTACACTGCTATCGCTTCTCGCACTAGTATTGCTACTGTTGCTACTGGTACTCTCTTTTTCGAGCTCCATTGATTCAAGTTATCAACTATACTTCAATTCTATGTGCGCAACAAAGACGCCTGCTTCGCTGTTGAGTAATGCCAACAACGGAAACTCAACTGACAACAAAATTGCCTCAATACACCGCGCAGGTGGAGTCCAGAACCAACGAAGCTACACGCATACAGAAACCTTCTTAAAATCGATCACCAGGGCGCGCGCTTTTCTCACTGGCCAACTCGCCACTAGGCAGTTGGCCGCCGCGAAGCGTTAACTCAGACAATGAGGGCTATGAAACGGTACGTGAAAGAATGATGACAAAATCGTGCATTACTGTGCGAGTACGTGTACAATGATAACGTCGTAGGAATCAATAAAGGCAGCGAGTAACCCTCTACAATTGCAGCGGTTGTTAAGCACTATCGGCTCCCGATGATGGCTGTGACGGATCGGTCCTGGGGAGGAAATATCATCGCAATACGGCATGTTCAAGTGTCTAGGCTTACCTCGAGCCTTGCATTCCACCTAACCTACTGTACAAATCGCCATAGCTGAGCATAGGAGGCTCATCAGGATCGTCCATGTCGGCATTCCTGACAGTCGTCATCACCCTCCACAAGCATGGGCAACTGAACTCACCGTGTTCCAGCAGCAGCAGAGCCATAAAGATCGCTGTAACTCATCATCGGTGGATCTTCATCGTCATCACTGTTCTGCTGGCCACTACGAATGAAAGACGTCATGTGTAAGCCGGCTATACACCCATACCGCTGCAATGCTAGTTGTTGGCTATTCCCTTGAGGCTGCTCACTCGATGCTATTTCCGATCCGGAACTTGAGCTGAGTAGACAATGTTATAACAAAACAGGAACTCAGCTTTGACTCCTACCTCCCCAACCGACAGCTGGTAGCAGGCGGAAAGCTGGTTCCATCAGTGTTATAGAGAGCCGAGTAACTCAGCATTGGTGGCTCATCATCGGCACTAGACCTGACGACCATCATCATGCTATGACCTGCTGTTGATACTTAAAGAAACCACACCTGTTAGCCGATCTCCCCACAGCGCTTCCACTGCCGTACATATCTCGATAGCTCATCATAGGGACATCATCATCATCATCATCATCATCATCACAACTGAACAATCCCGATCAAAAAGCAGATTGCCCTGATCATCATCACTCACCTCGGGACACGCCGATTATCGCGACCATCGCTCTTGACTGTCGCCGATTCCACCTTAGCCTCTCTGAAACTATCTATTTCGAACCTCAGTCTTGATCGATACTTACGGTGCCGCTACTCTGCCCACTGCTGCATCCGTATCCACCACGCCTACGGTCGTTCGAACAACCTCCTCCTCCTCACTTGCTTCACTCTCCTTCCAGTGTGAAACATTGTCACGTATTGCTCGCCTTACAGCCTTCGACCATTCACAAGCCGTACTAGAGAATCCAGTCTCGTCGATCCCAATGAGACTCTCAAGTGCTTCAATCATCACAATTGGCCCTGATAAAGATAACATTGGACTAGCCGAAACTGCATGTTCATGTACATCGTTCGATGAAGGAGATTTGTGTGCGCGGTGACGGGTCTACATTTGATGCCGGCGAGCTGTCCGACCACGGCGGCGCTGTTACTTGCCTGTTCACTTTCGCTAATTCGCGCGCCTCAGCCGCGAATTCGGCGCCTAACAGTGTAACAGATAACAGAGGGGCGTAACACGTTGAGTTGGTACACAGCCTCACTGCCCATTTATAGTGCAAATCCCAAGTGAGCCAAACATGGCCGCAGTCCGCCATGGATATGCTGAGCCCTCGGATGAGTCGTGAGTCCTCGGGGAACTGGGAGACGTTGAAAGGAGGCCCGCTTGCCACTCGGTCCTACAATAACTGCTGTCAGCATATCTACACTTGAGCAGCGACATACCTTTATCTGGTCTGCGAGCTTTGGGAGTGCTTCTATGTCAGTGCTCAATATCAATGCCACGATTTGACTTCGGAAACGCTTCAATTCGGACCTAATACGCAAGCCAGTGCCTCAATAAAGAGAGGCGGGCTACTACTTCTACCTAGAGAGGCCTCGGGAGATATCCCAGTCCTCGCTCTCTTTAAGCATATCAAACATAGTAGCCGCATGGTAGTTCTCCATAACAGAACGGTCGTTGTACCTGACAACCATCGTAAAAGGGTTGGAGTGCACGCAAAGGACATACCGTAGGGCCAGAGGATGCCGTGTTTCTATTAAGAACTTGTTGGTGTGACCGAAATGGCCAACATCATGGCTCAGACAAGCGATAATCAACGACGCCCAATCGAGATCGGACAATCTCGAACGAATGCCCAGCGAGTTGATGATAGCAGCGCTGAAGGAGGAACACTGAAGGGCTGTAGATAGTAGCACTGCCCTACCAGTGATGGGTTACTTGTGCAGCATGGACAGCATTATGATATGGTACTGATAATAGATACCGACTACACAGCTCCGAGAGGAACCTCTCATACACTGGGCATCGGATACCATCGTGGCTTTCCGAACCTAGACGAACTAATATGCAAAGTTGCGTCTATCATCATCATACCAATATTGAGTATTCGGTTAGCTTGGTCATCTGGGAAACAGGCTCGTGCCACTGCCATGTACAGAGCCAACACACACTCAGGATTCCGCCGACTTTCCTGAAATAAAGCACTGCACTCCAACAGTTCAGCTCTCCATACTTGATGAGAGGTCCACAGCTCCTCAACATCCAAGGTAAAGTCATGGCCAACTCTAGTCAGTAGTTCTTCATAATCATCAACAAAACACACAGTAGTATATTCACCACCGGGCATTACAGCAACCGACGAGGCGCTACCACCTAAACCGTACCTGAGAAGATCGCTGGGTATGATTCGGTTCCCTATGCATTGACAACATAATAGTCGTACCGTGCTGCCGCTGCTGCTGCTGATGCCCTTGAGCCCTGTGCCACGCTAGACATAGGAGTATAGAGTGCCGAGCAATACAACAATGATGCTGCTGGGCCACCATGACCTCCACGACTACCCGACTCGCCCGACCTAGGAGTCTCTCCAGACGCCAACTGAGTACGAACCATACACCCCATAGAATGTCACCGAAATGCTCCTCACCCTCTGCTGCTGATGCGACGACATACCTTCCATTAGAACCTCCTTCTGGAAGTCTAATACAAAAAGAGACTTCTCTGACTTCCTCACCTGAGAGTAAAGTCGTTGATCGCTGGCCACTCGAACACCAGAACTACCAAGGATAGTGCGTGGTCCAAGTCGCTTGCCAGCTGTCCGTTATGGACATTAAGACCACTTAAGCCCGTCGATCTTGCCCGGAATATCAGCTTTTCCATCAACAACAACCTCTGAGATGGCAATCATCATTATCAGATGTATGATGATCACACCTTGTGCGTTAGCTGCATCTGAGTAACTCTTGTTGCCTTGTTATTAGAACTGTCGAACGCTACTATGGTCCTCTCGAGTACCTATGTACACGAACAAGGTAGGGAAGTCCACAGTGTGGAATATAGACATACATCTATTCTCCGCTGTGAAACCTCCAAATGGAGGAAATTGGTCCTTTGGAAGAGTTCAAGACGATACTTTCCCGTCAAGCCGAGAATAGAGCTCAGAATCACCATTAGAGTCAGCGACCTGCAAAGGTGAATGATATCGGCTTATGCTTAGAATGACTATTACACAGCAAACCAGTTCTCTGTTGTGGACGCTGGCACGACGTCCGCGTTGGCGTCGTATGACGGGACTCCGAGTCCAATTGATATTCCAGCGTAGATGATGTTGATGGCCACAGCAACGGGGAAAAGACGGCGGATCCTCAGAGGGGTGTAGACCGAGAAATACATTCTGAGAACACATTACCAGGTATCGACTAGCATCAACGACGCGTGTCCTCACATAGTAAGAAGATCCAGGAAAACTGATATATCGGCGACGCCGAGATTAGCACCAGGGAAAGCTACACTATAATCAGTACCTGGTGAAGCGGGTAGTAGACAAGCTGATCGGCCCTGAGTACCTGTGATGGTGGCCACTCGATATGGCGTACCAAATACAGTGGCGGCGATCATGGTGAAGCCCGTCCATACTTGTATGTATAATTCTAAGTAACGACTAGGGGGGATGGCAAAGGGGAATGTAACGAGGACAAATAGGCCTGGCGGCAAGAAAAGACCTTGGAGGAATGCTCAAGAGGAGGATGGGTACTTACTCAAGGCGGTAATGATCAACCAACATGAATTAAATAGTATATTCGCAGAAGTATCCCATTTAGATACCCAAATGGAGGGATAGAGTAGACACACCAAGGCAAACCTACAGGACTAACTAGGGCCGAGTAATAAGGAAGTGATACTACGCTATATAGGCAAGTGCTGGTACCCAAAGGCTCCGTCGCAGTTTAGGTTCCAGAGATAAAAGATATGCTTTTTCAAAAGGTGGTACGGAGAAGACCATCGTCCGCCTGAACGGCACAATACTGTACTAAGCGATATCAACAGCCACCATTATTATGACATCATGGTTTATCTATATTTTGGCTCACGTACATTGACAGATCTATTCTAACTACCCCAGTACTACTTATGCAATTTCACCCTTTCCCATTGCATCAGCTTTTCTCGTCGCTCGTCAATTTCTGCAATAGGCTTGAGCACATCTTCTGGTACCGGCTCCGGAATAGCTGGTAAGACTCTGGATGACATATTGGTAGATTCCCCGCCGCCTCCACAAGGTTCATTGATATCGGGAATGACCAGGACTGGGGGTCCGACCTCGGAAGTCGTCCCATTGTTGCCAGCAACGTGGTTTATCTGATCACCACAAGGTCATACTATCCTTGCCTAGGCGGCCGCCTCACTTTCAACAGTTGGGCTCCCGATGATATACTCTCGAGTGATGAAGGAGGACGGCCAACCTCAGTGCCTGCAAGGTGGTGGCATGCAACACGATAAGCCCACTGCCCAAACTATGCTATGCGAAACCTCGATGATACTGACTACTTCCCTTATCATAATATAACGAGTTTCGAAGGGAATATGAGGCACGCGAATAAACAACGTTCAACATATATCTCAGCGATGACACTTCCCAGAATTGAATTCCCGCTTCCTTCACAGTCCGGTCCATGATCAGTTCGGCGGGAATTTCGTTCGGAAGAACTCTGTTTAGTCTGTCAGCGTACAAAGCGTGAGCGCCCATTAGGGATTCCTTTTCCAACAGCACCCGCGGATGGAACTTTGGGATTCCACGATGAAGTCCTAGGATTCTCCCCCTCAGCTTCTCAAGAACGAATCGTCCACTCTAGGCCACCATCGCCCTCTACTACCTGTGAAGCTCCGCAAGTGTATTGGCTCTGACCTCACACCTGGCGATGTTGACGGCATTGGAACAACTGCCGCTACTGAACAATGTATTCACTACGAGTAACACAACATGAGCCCAGTGACGTGATGATAGCATCAACAACAGCACGCGACGGCGTCACCTTTCAATGACTACTCCCACCATGGTCACGTTTACTGTGTCGTCCACTCGGGCCTATGCAATTCAAGGGAGTTCCCATAAGGGTTAGTGGATGACCAATCCGTGTCACCAATGGGCAGACTCGTTGCCGTCTGAAAGAGATGAGTGTCCGACGTTTGAGCAGTATCATCCCAAGAGGATGAAATACTGTCATCATCACCATAGTCAACTTCTTCGTTACCGTACATACCAACACGACTCTGTTGATAACCTCAGGAGAGAGATGGAAAAAAATTAACTTAATCACTTTTTGGGACTTCGCCCTGAACTACTTCAACCGTTTCATGATGAACAACGAAGTATCAAATTCTCAAGACAGCAAGATTGTTCTAGAGAGCGAATGATAATCTAACAAGCCCCCCCAATGAGCGCTCGAAACAAACTACACATCACATCCTTGATCAGCAAACCAGTTTCGGATACGTTGAGGAACAGTTCCTCGACAAGTTGGTCGGAATCCCGCTCTTCCTATCACACTGTCAATAGAAATCGTCTTCACGGTTAAGGCTCTCTCCTTCTTAGGAGGGAGAACCCACGAGTTATTTCGGGTGTTATGGTCAAGTCCCTGTATAGTGATAGAATTTGAGCTTGAATCGAACGACAGGAATCTTGCAGCATAAATCATGAGAGTGGGCTCAGCATTAGCAGATTCATCAAGCTCCTTATATACTATCCAGTGATCGTTCTTCTTGAGGAGGTCCAACGTAATTCCATCAGGCATATCTGCCTTACCTATAATGGCTGTTGCCACTCTGGAGGGAAGGGTAGCAAAGTCCAATGCTACACGTTCATCACATGTGTGATAAGGCAATAGTTGCCTGGCAGAGAACGGCTTATCGAAACCTTCCACATAAAATAGCAGAGCATTATGGGGATGTTGATGGGAGATTCGGTAAGGTCCAGAGACTTTTCTTCTCCCATTGATGAGTCTCGAAACTTTAATGCTGTCACCCGCATTGAATTTAAACCTCAATGGTTCGTCAATCAGAGTCTTGATTTCTTTCCCCAAGGCTGCATCAGCGCGGCTGACCAAGAAGCATTGCATTACTGATGACAGATACTCACAATTCTTCTGACATAGTTCGTCTAGCCCCGAGGAATCGGGGTCACTTGACTCGGTTTCAGGCAATAAGTCCTCTCTTGAATGAGCTAGCATCGCTGGAGTACATCCTAGCCCATCTTTAATAGGAGAAGAATTATGGATAGATATAGCATTGAATGCACATATCCACCAGGGTAAGGTTGCATCAGGAGCACACGTACCAATACGGATAGCTGTTTTAACATCACGGATGAGCCTTTCAATGAGGCCCTGTGATTCAGGTCTTCTCGGTATGCCAAGGACAAGCTCTGCCCCCCATGCCGATGTGAACTGTCGAAGGGCCTCACTGTCGTGTGCCGGGCATGCATCCAACTGGATGTATTTCGCTGGTCCGTAGGTGCTGAACCAGATTAACAAGACTCCAATTACATCACGGGCAGTTGTTGATTTAGTGGGAATGGCTAAACTCATATGTGTACATTCGCAGATAATCAAACACAGGTATTCCGTGTCCCATGGGGTTTTGTCATTCTGATTGGTAAGGCTGAAAGGCCCAGCAAAATCCAATTGGATTTTCTGAAACCGCTTCTGCCATCTCCGGTAAACAATCGGGGCGCGGTTGATCATGTCGTGGTGTTTGTTCAACTGGCACGTCCCACAGCAGCGGATCATCTGCGTAATATCTTTTGTCATGCCGTCCCACCAAAACGAAAAACCCACACTGGGGCATCTTACGGCATGCAGAACTCTCTCCAGGCTACGATGGAGTGAGAGGTAGCGATGGTCATGGTATCTATAGACCACCCAGTGCCTCGCACGCTTGGATGGGAGGTAAATCCTCCAACGCGGTTCTTCCTCGAGTGGGTCACACACTAAAAGCACATTCAGGGTATCATCCCATCTCAGGTATTTCCCATGAGCTCCGCCAGACACGAACGCTTGGGCGGCTGAGGATACATCATCTTCCTCAGCTTTCATCACTCCTAGGCATGCTAGGATATCGTAAAGTTTGATGTTGAAGATTTGGTGATTTTTGAGGAACTGATGATCTAGAAGGGCTTCTTGAATATGCTGTATGATTTCATTTTCCGATAAATCCGCCACATTGGTGCAATCGTCATGATCAATAGCAGTCCTCTGCGTAACACTATCTGTTATCCCGGTGATGATGCATAAAGTCTCATCGTTCCTTGCACTACTTGCATCGTTTTGAGTTTGCACCTCCGCCAATGGGGTACGACTCAGCCCTTGGTAGTGGTTATGTGCCCCATCGGAAACTGTTAGCTCTCCACAAGGGGACATGACAACCATTACAACTGCATCATCTTTTTTCTGTTTCTTTTTAACTGTTTGGTTCCCTAGTGGGTCTAGATTCGGCACTGCCGATAACGCACGGCTAAGGAAATCAGCCCGGCTGTTCGCCTTGCCTTTAATATGAGAAAATTTTATCGAGCAGCCATGTTCATTCTTGAGCTCATCGCGAACTGCTTGCATGCTATTGATCATGCGTTCGAGCTCCACATGCTCAATCAGCTGCATCTTGATGGGCTTATCGGATGCCCATGCAACTGCACTGGAGTTATCACTGTAAATCAGGACACTATGGATTGTTCTTCTCATTGTGCGGACCCAATACAATGTGCGCCGCAGAGCACAGAGCATTGGATAACTCTCCTTCCTGTTTATATGCCAAGATCGTTCTTTGGGGCCATATTCTTCTGCTGTCTCCTCGAGTATGATCCAGGAGTCGAGGTTTCCGACTGAATAATCAGATCGGGCAATGCGGATCGAGTATCCGAAGCCGGAACCACACGCGTCAGAATAAACTACGATCGTTGTGAAATCGGGTGGGAGACATTTATGCGTGCAATTGTCTGTCATGTCTTGGTCGGCGAGACTCAATAGACATTGCAGTATACCCATCTGCTTGGCAGAGAGTTCCCATTTCCGATTCCAAGCCGCTCTGCTGTTGCCTCCTTCTGATCTACCAGCCCATCGCCTCATCCTGTCTGCTACCAATCGGGCAATAGGATGGCATTTCAATGGATCGTACCGGTGGCCAGCCAATGAGAAAATGTCTCTACGGGACACTATCTCGGGTGCGAATTTACTCTCATCACTTATCGGGACGCATGAGAGACATAGTCTACCATCAAGATCTTTCGACCATAACACACCTAGGTGACGACAAGGAGAAGAACCTTCTATGATCTCGTCGCGTTTCTCCTCGGGGAAGGAATCCCCTACTAGTTGTGCAATGTAGCACAGCAAAGAAATGATAGTCTTGCATTTCATGGGATTCCCCATGATGCATATGTCGTCGTAGAAGACTACAATCACGACATCAGGGAAAAATTTCGATGCTTCATCAACGCTCTTCATTCGAATGTCCCTGCCAAGGAGTACGGTGAAGACAGCGTTCAAGAGTAGCACTACTTTCCCTCCTAATGAACTCGGTCCAAACGACACACCAAACACGACGCAGTTGGTGTAATAGTGTCGTCCGTTGCTAGTGATCCTTAGGACCCGGTTCGCCCCGAGCCTAATCTTATAAAATGCCTTCTCAAGGTCAATGAAAGTTATGGAGTTCCCTGGCAAATAGTTTCCCCTTATAGTATTCAAGCAATCACTGACTGCCATGCCCCTGTAACTGGCCTTCCATATTCGACTATTTAGTTGCCGAGCATCGCTGCACAATCTTACTTTAGTGCTCTTGTGCTGTCCTTGCGTCAGGGGAAACGATATGATATCATCGGGTATTATGACCGCGTCACAAGCTCTCACTGGTGGTTCTCGGCAATCTTTGTCCCACCACCATCCCGATTGAAGCAGTTTAGATAGTTCTTCCTCTGCGAGGTCCCTCTGCATACCGTTGAGTTTGGAAAACATGTTTGCGCTATAATCATGCGATTTCCTCGCTGACCCTTCCTGATCCATTTCCCAATGAATTTCATATACCCATCGTTGGTTTTTGGTATCTTTCCTTTCCCAGCTTGAGAGAGGTCTTAGGAGTCCTTGATAGTTGCTAGCACCAGGTAGTGGGTGCTTTATACCAGCTTGCAAAATCAATTGATTTATCGCAAGATCGGTCAACACCTTGAAGCTCATCTTTCCCTGTATGCAGTGCTTCGGCATTTGTATGGATATACCGTATTTCATAAGATCTGGGTATCCGATGTTGATGTCCAGTCCTGCTGGTAGGCCAGATGTGCCTTCAGGGATGACCCAGCATTCCTGGTTGCACTCATAGCCTCGGAAGGCAATATCCATGCTTATAACTTTGTCTAGAGTAGTAGAAGAGTTCAATCCCTTGACTGTTCGAGGCTCTGGATGGTTTGAGATGGGGTTGTACTGAGGATGAGTGTTGTCTAAAGTCTGCGTTAAGAATGTCTCACTCACCACTGATACAGAAGCCATTGTGTCGAAACCGCAGCGTGCGGCGATATAGACAGAACCTCCTATCGATACTCTAACAGGTTCGATAAGTAACTTATTATTAACACTGTTAATAGCAGCACAACAACCTTCGGGATAGGCAGAAACTTCATACTTTCGGCAGTTCATGTACATGTGCCCATTCTCACCACACACGATACAAAGTTTTTTATTCATCCTAGTCATCAAGTCATTCATGCTTATACCATGTGATGCCGCTACGGACTTAATCCGAGCAGGTGGATTAAAACTTGACCTTGGAGCTCTACGAATCACTTCATCATCAGTGGTCGAGGAACTCCTCGAACGAGGAGTGATAATAACTTCACTGTTGGTCGTACTCACATCACCAGTCGTTATTCTTGCTCTGGGGGCGCCTCGTTGCTCACCCGTATCTAAGGGACCTCCACTAGATCTCTTCAAGTTCAGGAGAGTATCAATGCTAGTGAACTTTGCCTCATAGGCAGTTTCCGTTAATATCTCCATCACATCTTCGGGACACTTACTGGTACGGATGCGCTCCATACAACCCATCAGTGATTCTCGTTTCAATTGCCAGCGTTTGCTCGAAGCAATAAGCTCAACATAAAGAAGGCGTCGCATGGACCAATTAATCTCAGTGCCGTCCGAGTGTTCAGCGATCTTCTCGATGATCTTTTTCTCACGAGCAAAGACTCGACTCCATGGTTGGGGCTGTTCTTTGACTTTGCCAGGAGACTGACATATTCACGTAGAAGTAGGATGGGATTGTACTTATGTGGTCGCTCGGCCGTACTCAAGATAACCATATCATCTCTAGCTTGCTTTACCATGCGACGGCAACCCTCAATGAACTTCGAGAAGGCATCAGCAATCTCACTCGGAGACGACTTATTGTTGACATCCTGCCAAGCTAACAAACAAGAGTTAGTTGGCAGGTCAGAGGTCTGGTGATCCTTCAGATCCTTGAGAGCACCATTGGCGATCTGGTCACTGATGGCCCTCGGAGCGACCAGGCACAGAGCCAACAGTTGCAAAGGAGCAGGATCAAGTTGACAATTTGTCGTGGCCTGAGAAATCTTATCCCACACCCTTGGGTAATCCCATGAACGAGGCTTCCCACGTTCAACCATAGTGTAGTCATGGCCATCAGGGTGGGTTTGTACATTCCAAGATCGAGCCCAAGCAAATACTGAAGAGCCAAGATCTTTGCCCTTAGGGCATCTGAAAGCCATACATTTATATATGGGGTTCCCCATATTCACACCCAGGACCCTTTGAAGCGTGTCAACAGGGTTCCTACCAGTATAATCGATATCACCAGAAGCTCGAGTAACCATCTGCGCAGCAGCACGAATATTCTTCATGAAAGCAAGGTCGTCACCATGAGTGCCAGTATTGGTTTCAACCGTATCACTCTCTCTTTCTTTCTCGGATGATGCACCATGAAAGAGATGAGTGTCCGACGTTTGAGCAGTATCATCCCAAGAGGATGAAATACTGTCATCATCACCATAGTCAACTTCTTCGTTACCGTACATACCAACACGACTCTGTTGATAACCTCAGGAGAGAGATGGAAAAAAATTAACTTAATCACTTTTTGGGACTTCGCCCTGAACTACTTCAACCGTTTCATGATGAACAACGAAGTATCAAATTCTCAAGACAGCAAGATTGTTCTAGAGAGCGAATGATAATCTAACACGTCCAATTGTACGCAACTCCTGTGCTCCTGCAAGCTGCGTTGCACGCATGCGCAAGATCAAAATGACGAATTCTCCACGTTCGTCGAACCACGACGAACATACTTCTTACAGGGGAGGGAACCCTCACCCGATGCCCCTGTAGTCTATTGTCATAGGGTTGATGGTCCCAGGAGGATGGGTTCATATCGATCTACTTCACGGCTTATGCCCTTCCTCACCAACGATTCGTGACAGGTCGATGTTTTCTACCCTTTTCGCCATAGGGGTTATCATGCAGAAAGTCTAAGGCTCAACACTTCCCCTTGTGATCGCTACCATGAGCAGCTTCAGCGATGATGTAAACCGAACCCCCAAGTGGGCCTCCTCCCGACACATGCTTAACGGGAGCTCTTCATGAGCACTTATCCTCCCCAGAGAAGCAGATAAGGGCAGACCATGCCATGTGCTTCGTCGATTCTATTTCCTATAGAGCTCCCATTCGCGTTACTAGTGTCAATCCTGATATCGGTCATCATAAAGGTGCGTTAGTACTGCGGTTGCCTTGGATGCCTGTTGGCCGGCAAGTGGATCGAGTGGCTCAGCCCACGGTGAAGAAAAGGAGGAAGTCGACACATGAAGAGCGGGATGTGATGGAGGAGCTCATTGGTAGCACCGGTATGGGTCCCTTATGGCCAGCCATGGTCTAATGCTCAGGTCGTAAACTAATGATGAGGAGGGGCAACGGACTCCACAACGGGTTCATACGAGGGGTAGTGATCTATGAAAGGGAGCGTCTACTAGATGTCATATGGGATGTAAGGAAAACAAGAGTGATAAGTCGTCAGGGAGGTGCCCATCGTCAGGACGGTGATATCGAGTTTATGCCTGACTACATAGCGAGGGGAAACCTCCTACCCGGGTCCCCCTCTGAGGGTAGCCCAGCTGCTGATACAGAGGGACAGCCGACTACTGCGGGGGGCAAGAGTACTCGGACGACCTCGACTGGCGTCAACAAGATACAGGTGGAGTCCAAGCACGAAAGCGTTGATCTAGCGCCAAAACATTCTAGTGCGCGATCTGGGGATGGTAGAACTTACAGGGAATCCAATCTTTGGGAGGTTCTCTTACAGGGACAGCATCATCTACTCTTCAACCGAGCACAACGAGTAAGTCGGCAGGGACGGGAGGGAGGATGGTCGTCGTCAAGACTCGGCATAAGGGTCGGAAGGCTACGGCAGCATCCGAGTGCCTCCTGCCTGAGCTCTACATCACTCGTGAGACCAGGGAGCTCACTAACGGACCGCCACGTAGGATCATGCTCGTGCCCAGCTCGAATGATGATTACCTACTACAGACATTCACGAGGGACAACGGTCATGGCTATCGGATGACGAGGATACAATCCTTGCCCTAAGACGAATAGTTCAGGACAGTTCACTGGACCATCCAGAGCTTTGGTCAGCAGTTCTTAGAGGGTTACTGCGGTTGGCCCTAGCCTCCCACGAAATGACCTATGAGGAATACTCCTGCATCCGAAGGCTACAGGATATCATGAGCATGTCACCGACCGAGGAGCTCCTTAATACTTCAACTGAGTTATTGACATCAGTACAATACTTATGCACTATCGCCATCGATGTTGCAGCACTGACAAGTGCTAGTGTGAAGTTCTCGTTATATGATGAGCTAGGCTATGGTGACTACCTCTTGGATGGGCTGCCGAGGGATGGCGACAAGGGTGCTACTCTGTGGTTTGATGGCCCACAAGGGTGTAAGGACAATAGGTACGTGTGTAGGCGAATCCTTGGTGTTGGCAGTCACTACGCAAGAGGTCTGCCGAGCATTTGAACAGAAGTTGGGGGCTGACCATGAGGAGGATGATGATGCTGTGCTCTCTCCGACCAGCAGGCCTGGAGGCCCGGACTTAATCCTAGGGAGAGTGGTAAGAGGGCCTACTCGGGTGGTTGTAACCACTACTCGCTACAGTTGGAGGGTCTGCCAGTGGATGAGACCTTCAAGCCACTACCTACCCTTAGCAGTAGCCCAACTAAGCTTGAGGACCCTTCTGGGCCGTCACAGTACACCTTAGTGGTTGACTCCTGCCAAGATGCTACCCTTCGACGGTAGGGTGAGGGGCCTGCTGGCATACGGGGGAGAATGATGGATTCAGATACATTCGGAGGAGCCATGACTTCATGCCATCCATCGAAGGGCACACCATCGAGCATTCCATAGGGGAGCTACAGAAGTTCGTGAAGCGGAAGACGGCGCCACGGCGCTACACGGATACTGGGCCGTCAGTCGACCCGGAGGCCTATCTAAGGGATATTGCCATCACCAATGGGGGGATCGTCAATATCAGCAGTGTTACGGCTGGTAAGGGGAAGCAAGAGAGCGGACTCGGGGAATTTATACCATATCAATTCAATGGCCACCTGTCGTTGTCACTTGTCTGGATAAGCCCTATATGCAGGTTGTACGTCGAGACCCCAGGCGGTCCTATTCAAAGCTCTGTGTGACGCTAATGGGATAGCCTGTCGCCTGGTAGGAAGGCCCCTCAGGGTCCCACATAGGTTGGGTCAGATCCGACAAGATGGTGGTCTGTACTACAATAGTATTCTTATACGGGATCGCTCATACTATAGCGATGCACTATCTGATGATGGCGACGACCAAGACTCGGAGGATGGTGTATCCCAGGATGTGAGTACGTGTCCATCGGCACTGTGTACATCCAGTGAGGTAGGGTCAATCCTTGATTGTGAATGATGATGATGACGACGAGGAAGATGAGGACGATTCGGATTTCGAAGGGAGTAGCAGCTCTGATAAGAGTCAGGCTGACGGTGACGAGAGTGCTACACATAAAGTCCTAGAAACTGTCCTTCCCATTTTCTGGGATCCCAGTGTTGGAGGTACCTAACCTTATACGACTTCGCGGCGCTGTGGGGACCTCTGTGGTGGGCAGATACACCGTCATCGACACCGAGCTCACCAGAAACCTCTCCAGACATCTTGGAGGGGGTACGAGATGCCTGTCAGCACCCATTGGATAGGCTCATCATAGGTGAAGTCGGACCATGTGGCCACTCCTTGGTAGGCTTGGTGTCTTTAGAAGCTGGCAAGGCCACATCAAAGCGGTCAATCGATCTTGATAAGCACTTCGAGTTCATCACAAGGATCGGCAGAGTAACTGCAAGCAGTGTTCTCGTTGGGCAATATAATGTCGCCGCGGTCAGGGCTCATTCGGCGAGGTGTGGCGTGTCAAGCTGATCCCTAATCCTGAGGACTATAGTGAGTGTGGAGCACTGTTGGCCCATCCTAGTAGTAGCGGTGAATACGCTTTGAAGATGGTCCCAGAGGCCCATATAGATGAGGAGGAAGGGGAGGTACGACCAACTGGGCCATCCTTTTGCCTCACCAACTGCCTCAGCTCATGCGCACATACTGTTCCGCTGGGCATCCCTGCATCACGGAGGTCCTCGCAATATTCTATGCTCATCAAAGGCTCCCATCGCGGCGGAAAGGAAGCCATCATATTGAGCGCTCTTGGTGTTGTCTTATGACCGTTGAGGATACCAGTCTTGAGGTCCTACTTGACTCGAGGGACAAGTGAGTAACTTGGACGATACTACTAATCCCAATACATCAACGAACCCTCATCTCACCAATACAGTTGATTCTGCCAACATTGAATCATAGTGCCATACATGGGCTGATCCATACAACAGAGGATCGAGATGTGTCGGGGGATAACCCTTCGATTTACCCAGAGCTGTTTACAGATACGTGCGGCGACGCCTTGCAGCATCACCGGCCGAGATATGCCCCAACGAAGAAGCATCCTTTGACGATGTGCCTGTCCTATTGGACCTGCGATTCACATTCCGTCTCCTTATCGACACTGCCTTTGCTATGATGTTCCTCCATACTACCACCAATAACAGGGTAGGACTATCTCAATTGTCTTCTGTTCATCATCCTCACAGACCTACGTCCTTCATCGAGACCTCAAGCCTGCCAATATACTCCTAACCAAACTCAACGCCAATGAGAGTATTTTATACAGAGGTAATTGCTCTAGTGGCCGTAGCCCATCGACTCCTTCAGCTCGTCTCACTGACTTTGGAGTGGCCCGGGCCAACCCTGGACAAGATACCAACATGACCATCGGTCTCGGTGAGTAGTCCACAAGGATCGATCCATCATCAGCATCACTATGCCCACCACAGGCACAGAAGGTTACATAGCTCCCGAACAGCACAGCATTGAGTATGATAGGCCCGCGGACGTGTGGAGCTTCGGCGTTACTGTGGCGAGGATATGCGGATTGGATTCGTGGAAGGACGTGGCCGCCGTCTCGACGCGCCCCACAACTACTAATCAACAGCATAACCCGAGCAGACTAGCTGAACCAGTTGTGAAGTTCCCTCCAACCGCTGACTCCTTCTTGTGCAATCTCTGTCTACAGTGTATAAGCAGACAGCC